GCACCCTTCTTCAGGGCCCTTCTTCAGGGCCTCTGAGCCTCTGAGCCTGCAGGCCCGCCATGGCTGCAAGACGTTCTGCACACAGCCATGGCACCGGTCACCTGCGCTTGTTTTTGGCGAAGCATCCCGCAGTGAGGCCCTGTCTGTGTGGCCACGCGGTAGCTTCCGAGCCACGGCCGCTGGCTCGCTGACTCCAATCTATTGACTTTCCCTGGTTTGCCAATCTCGAGGCGGTGGATCTGCAGTTGGGGCCGTACTCGTACTGCAGCTTCTGCCGCAGTGGCTGCAGGTGAAGGGAAGCGGCGGTGCCTCTCCGAGTCGGAGCTGATGAGGACCCGACAGACCCGCCCTGCCCCGCATCGCCCCGCATCGCCCCGCTCTGACTGCTGCTCTGACCCGCTCTGACGATCGCGTTGCGCGCCCGCTGTCGCAGGAACAAGAGCTTCGTGGGTGGCTTGACTTGTCTCCAGCATCCTCCCCGAGTCTGGCCGCCGACACTGACATCGTAGCAGATCGTGATCCAAGGTGACTTGGTGGACGCGCCTCTGCCGATCAGTAAAGTTCCAGAGCCGCTGGAAGACGAGCCAGTAAAGATACGGCCGCCGCCGACGTCCGACTCCTCCCAGGTGCTGTGGGCTCCCCAGATCGCATCGGTCCCGAACATTCCCCGTCCTGACTTGTCCAGTTGTTCTGTACACTGCAGGGAGACGCCCAAATGCAGCCTGCCAGCAAGAAGAGCGAAGAGGGAATGCTCGCGCGAGGTCCTTGCTGACTTGAGGCAAGGTGGATCCACCGGAGGGCTTCGCTTCCGGCGACATTGTGCGCATCGAGAAGATGATCCCGGCCGGCCATCTTATCGTGGCCCGGCAGAGCTCACATTCTCGGTCCATCACTTTTCCGATGCACGGTGCTTCTGCAAGCAGGGTCACCGGGAAGAGTCCGTGATTTGAAGGATGCATGAGATTTTCGATCCACAAGCCATTCATTGAGTCACGCCATGTCTTGGCCTGTACTTCGGATGTTCTCGAACTTCAATGCCTGACGATTTGCCTGAGGAAATCCTGGGCGTAGGCCGGTCTTGCCCGAGAATTGGCCGTACTTGCCGCTCACATCCAGAATATGCAGAGATATGCAGTGCAGGCCTCTTCCCGCAGTCCAAGCATGCCAAAATCAGTGGGACAATCGCACAGGCAAAACTACGGCTGTGCTTCCCGCAGAGTCTGCCTGATGGATGTCAGTTGGCAGGTTGTCTGTTCTGAGGGGACGTCAGAGACGAAGGCGCACTTAGATGGGATGTTCTTGCAGCGTGCAGCCATAGTGCCCTGCTTGGCTTATCCCGGCAGGGCCGCGTGTGTCTCCGGAAAGGCCACGAAGAGATCAGCACGTCTGGTGAACAGCACGCGTCGCCACGTGGATTTTCAGCTGTCCGCATGACTTTGCAGGAAACATGGGCATGAAGTCTTTGGGCTGCTGGTCGCCTTCCAACCTCCAGAAGCTGGAATAGAAATTGAAGCCGCTTCAATGAAGCGATCCTCGCGAAGAGCTTGCGAAAGACACTGCGCAGGGTATCACGAAGCATGTGCAGCCGACAGTGGAGTGTCACACACACGAGCGTGAAATCGCCCAGACAGATCGACAGCGGAACCAGTTCCCTACCATGAAGTCCCGACATGCTGGCGTCTGACATGAGACTTGGTGCTGGCAGCGGTTTTCAATGCCGAATGCGACGCAGCTCAGTAGAACCTCGCGCGGCGGAATCGATCTGATGCGCAGCCATTTTGACAACAAGTATTCTAGTCGTTGAGTGACTAAGTATACTGCATGGCAGCTGCAATCCTTGCCGACGGCTCCCGATCCGAGTTTTCTTTCCATGCGCGGCCATTCCCTATGTGGACCGTCAGCGTCTCGGAGGTGCTGCGCATGCGATCTCCGATCCAGCCGCATGAAGAGCTCCTGAGATCGGGACAGCTGGTGTTGCATGAGCCAGAGTTTTGTACAATTTTTGTTTCACACCAGTGGTTGGGAAGGCACCATCCGGACCCAGACGGAAAACAACTCCAAGTGCTCCAGGAGGCGTTGGGCGGCTGCATCTCTGGAAGGCTGCTGAAGGAATCAGACACGGTTGCAAGATGGTATGTTGGGAACCGCCCCACATCAAGCAAGGAGCGTCGAGCAATGCGTGATGGTTACATTTGGCTGGATTGGTTCTGCGTTCCACAGAACCCATCCCAAGAGGCAAAGCAGTCATTCGCCATACAGTCTATTGCATCCTACGTCGGGGATTGCAGTTTCTTCATGGCCTTGGTTCCACCCCTTCGACATGAATCTGGCAACGCCTGTGATTACGAGTCGTGGCTGCGGCGAGGCTGGTGCTTAGCGGAGCTTTGGTGTACCCAACTATCCAACAGACGAAGCTTGCCCATGATTGTCATACGTGGTCCTGACGAAGCCGAATTCGTCCTGGCTCTAAATTGGGTCTACAGCCTACCACACGAAGGAGACTTTACCATAGAAGCGGATCGAAGTCGCATCAGGGACGTGCTGACTTCATCGGTGGAATCCCGCATTGCATTCCTGGAAGCAAATGAGACAGAGCTTGGCCTTTGCAGGTATTTGAAAGGCAGGCTTCATGACTGGAATCCTGGACGTTCCCGCACGCCGAGATCCGAAGAGGACTTTTTGTCTTACTTCGGATTCCCGAGCTTGGCAAAGGGCTTGAAAGTCAGACAGATCGGGGCTTTGGCTTGCGCCGTTCTCTCGGACGACATTCCCATGATCCGGAGGCTTGTCCAAGCTAGGGCTTCCGTGGGATCACGTTGTAAACCAGCACTCGTGAACGTAGATGTGCTGACTTGGACGCCCTTGCACCTGGCCGTGCAACGGGGCTCGCGTGCACTCCCAGTCATGGCAGAGCTCTTGCGATTGAGGGCAGATCCTAACTCGACCGATACCCTTGGCCTGCCAGTGCTGGGCCATAGTCGAGATGCTGCCACAGTTGAGTTTTTGGTTCAGCACCACGCCGATGTGAACTTTCAAAGTGGATTGACCAAGGTGTCACCACTTGGTCTGAGTGCAGCCAGGGTGTTTCCAACCTCAACCTCAGTTATCAGCAAATTGTTGGAGCTGCGTGCTGATGTCAACGGCAGCGAAGCCCGCGGGGGTCTTGGACTTCCAGCTCTTGTGAACTTAATCTGGCATTCAAGGAATGCTGAAAACACGGCCGTGGAAATGGCTGCACTGCTTGTCAGCGCAAGAGCAGATGTTAATGCATCGGGTCGTCCAACGGGTCTTTTCCGTTACTTGGAACTGGGCTATCGGGCAGCAATCTGCTTGGGTTGCAGAGATTCACTTGCTGCCTTTCACGCAAATAGCAGTTCAGGCCCACTTGGCTACGCGGCTTTCACTGGGCATGCGCCGATGGTCTCCTTCTTGCTTGCTTCAAGGGCACATCCTGACCTTCCCAATTCGCGCGGCCTGACTCCAAGGCAGCTCGCAGATTCCAGGACCCAACACCTGTTCTCAGCGTGCGATTGTCACCCGACGGATGATCGTCTCACAGATGAGTGCTCTCCCGAGGGGCTGAGAGATTCCAACATGCAACATATGCAACCCCTGTTTTGCGAAGACCCTCTCAGTTCCCATGAGTGGGATCCGCCAACGGAGTGCATGCAGAAGCCGTTGCAGAGCAGTTCAGATCAGGCAAGATCTGGGCCAGCGCGTCGTTTTGGTTCTCGGTGCTCTGAGGGCTTTGTGGCGGTGAGGCTCTGACAGACTTGGCAACTCAGCCCTTTTATGGTGTAGCTTGCCATTCCGACTGCTTGTCACCACCTTCTTGCAGAAGGTTGACCTTCATGCAGTTGTTTTAAATGACCTCATGCACATGTCTTTGAATATCTTCACTTCTGATTTTTCTTTGCTCGAAGAATAATGATTTTCCAATTCGCGCGGCCCGACTCCAAGATCCAACACCCAATCATCACGTGCGTTTTGCACCCGGCGGATAAGCATCCCTCTCCTGAGGGGCTGACAGATTCCAATGCGATCCGCTCTGACAGATTTCTGGCAATTCAGCCATTTCATGGTGCAGTTTGCCATTCGCACTGATTGTCATCACGTTCTTGCAATGGGGTGTATACAAATGTCTTTGCAGATCGTTTCTTTCTGTTTGCTCGAAGAGCAAGCTCTGATCTTCCTAACTCGTGCGCCCTGACTCCAAGTTAGCTCGCAGATGCCCAGACCCAACACCTGTTCTCAGCGCGCGTTCTGCACCCGACGGATGAGCATCTCACACAGTAAGTGCTCCCCCGAGGGGCTGAGAGATTCCAACATGCAACCCCTGTTTTGCGAAGACCCGCTCAGTTCCCATGAGTGGGATTTTTCAACGGAGTGCATGCGGAAGCCGTTAAGATCTGGGCCCACACATCTTTTGCCCTCAAAGGGGTCCGTGGTGGCGGGGCTCTGACAGATTTTGGAAATTCAGCCATTTTGCCATTCGCTCTGATCGCCACCACATTCTTGCAATGGGGTACAGGTGCTTTAATTCGAGCAAATCCCGATTTTTGCAACATGCTCGCTGTGACTTCAAGGCTATGTTTTAACAG